AGATGACTTGGATAAACACCAGATACAGCACTGGGACTTGATGAACTGCCGATACCGCACCGTGACGTCACAAACCTGTAGGTGGCAGTAGTGTTCTTTGACAAACATAGATGCCTCCAGTAAAGCACATTCAAATTAAATAGCTCTTAATTAAAAACACTTATCATTTATTGAACAGTATGTAATAATTTTATATTTAAAGTACTTTCAGAAGCTTGAATTCTGAATATGACGGACTTTTCCTTTCAGCTTCTGTATTCCATGTTAGATGTGCTGATTAATGGATACCTTGAACATGATTCAGTTCAGAAGTTATTTATTAAGCTCAAAGGGAAATTTATTCTTTTCACCCTCTAACTAATATCCAGGCTGACTTTAGAGGGGCAGAACAAAGTACAGGCTTACAACACCAAACTGCATGAGAAAGTAGAAAACACAGCCCATCACGCTTTCAAAGCATCTTCGTGTCATCTAAGAGTGACAGTAATTTCTTTCCAAGAGTTTTTCAGTCTGTTGATTGTGATGATATTGATGGGCTAAATCACAGGATATTGTTTATATTTACGAACCTTTGCCTATAGGAGCTGTTGCTCTTCCTCCATAATAAAGTATTTGTAGGGGCAATTGTTAACCATATCGAGCATTCTCAAAGTTCAAAAAAGCCACTACTGCACTGGGGTTTTGTTTTGTATTGAGGCAAAACGTCCACCACCTTAAAGATTGTATGGGAGGGTTTATTCATCCAGCTGGTAGGCAAATAATACAAATCAAACTTTTCTTCTTTTTACTGTTGCTTCTTCTGCTTTGATATTAAACCATAGGCCCCACCCCAATCCATGCTGGTCTTATACCAGTCTCTATAATTATAGGAAATTGACCCGAGGTTCTTCCTGTATATAGAATAAAATATAAAGAAATATAAATATATATTAACCTACAAAAAAATCTGCACAGAGGTTTCTCTTATAGAGAGACAGGAGCCTCTTTTGGACAAACTCAACAAACAACATCATTGTATTTTCTAAGGAAGCTTTGGTCCTCTGGGTAGGGCTGGGTATTGTTCAAAAATTTTCGGTTCCGGTACCAATACCGATACCTTCACTTCAATACAGGTTCCTGAACGATACTTTTTTCGATACCAGTTTTATAATATCAATTCGAAGAAAAAGAAAATTACACAACATAAAAAAGTACAAATCTTGAGTTTTATTTTAAGCTNCAACATAAAAAAGTACAAATCTTGAGTTTTATTTTAAGCTCTGATTTTTCCATTTACATCTTTCCTCTTACATAAAAAAAAAATTCAGTGTCTAATATTCACTGTTACATTGTGAGGACTTTTTTACTTAGCAGTTTTCCTTTAGAAAAATTACCATGTCTGACAAACAAGCCCGTTGAATGGGATCCTATTGACAGCGCACCGCTGGTATGTGGGGGTCTGAGCGGCTCCGACAGAAATATTGGAAGGCAGGATGAACTGACTGCACTGACTGTCCTTTACCAACTCCATTGGCTACGAGTTCAATTCAGAATACAATTTAAAATCCTTCTCTGTACTTTCAAAGCCATCCATAACCTTGCTCCTCCATATCTGTCAGACCTCCTTCACATTGCCACCTCCTCCCGCTCGCTTAGATCCTGCTCGTCTTCCATCCACCTCAGTGTACCCCCAGCTTGACTTGTCACCATGCGGAGCAGAGCCTTCAGCCGCTCTGCTCCCCAGCTCTGGAACTAACTTCCTCCCGACCGCCGCAGTATTGACTCTCTCCTCTTATTCAAAGCCAGACTCAAAACGCGTCTTTTCTTGATCCGGTGCAAGACGAACCTCTACAGAAGATCCTTCCTGCCTACAGTTATCAACACCTGCTTATGAAGTAACTTATGAGTTACTGCAACATTTAATTTCCCTTTTGGTTTAATTAAGTATTTTTGAATTGAATTATGGATTATTGTCATCACATTAATACCAATATTACTGAAACCACTTACCCCAAGCTCTGTCACAACTGGCAGTTTGGGTCAGGGACCCAAAGGGTGTGGCTTCCAGCTCGCAGCATCATATGATGTTCCTCTGAATAAATCTGAATATTGTACTTGAGGACTACCTTAAAGTTGTGCTTCATCACCCTGAACATGCCTTTAATGATCCTAGTCCTTCAATTAGAGGTTTGTTGTGTTTTAAGACATAAGACATTATGTTTTTATTTGTATCTGATGTCTCCGTTCAGCAGGCAAACATCTGCTTAAATTCTCGTCAATGAAATCTTCATTAAGATGAGATGTTCACATGACTGACTGCTACTTTATAACCTTTCAGGCGACTCATCCCAGCCTGCGTATGATTTCCAGTATGAGGTCCCTCCAGCAGAAGGTAATTTATTGTTTTTACTTAAACATTTGGTTAAGATGTGAATGAGTTTCCATAACATTAAATTGACCAACATTCTTGTTGTTTCTGTACATTTAGATACTGAAACCCCATTTGGAGATTCAGACGATGATCAGCGAGAAGACGTGCTTCCTTCTACTCAGCCAGCGAAATCCGCTGAAATGCATCAAGTTAACAATGGCATCCATAAACCTGTGCAACCCCAGATGTCTTCCACGTTGCAGGCCTCTGCAGCCTCCCTGCCTAACTCGGGTCAGCAGCCACACAACTCAAGGGACAGCTTGCTGCAGAACGCCTCCTTGAGCCTGCAGGAGCAGCATGCCACCAATATGCTGCTGGAGACTGTGTCACGCTCCCTGGAGCTGCTGGCAGAGTCGGTGCAGCAGCTGGCAGAGACCCAGCAGGAGTTTGTGCGCGAGTCACTGCAGCTGCAAAGGGAGACAGTGCAAGTTCTTAGAGACTTCACAGGTGGAGCAATCTCCCTAATGCATGACAAACTGAATGGACGGCCAGCTTTATAACACATCCAAGAGATGTAGAGAAGCTGCATCAGTGACTTTGGACCTGGCTGTCAGATGCAGGAACATGAGGTTATGGCGGTTATCATGTCTGCTTACTGTACTCAATTTGAACACTATTGGTACAAACAGATAAAACCGTGACAAGTTCTTTTTTTTTATTTCCTACTGAGGGCAGTGGTGAAGGAGGGTTCCTCCCACTTCATTTTTAAATTAAACAGCACATTCTAAGTTGGATTTATATTTGTTCATGGTTAGAAAAAAACAAAGTGACTATTCTTCAAAGAAATTTTGAACTGTCATTTTGGGTGGTTTTGCTGTAGGTTTCCTTTTCCCCCTGTGTCTAGACATTTCCACATGTACTGTAATGGTTGAGTGGAGGTCTGCACCTGACCATCATATGGTCCTATATCCTGGAACTAAACAAGCTGTGGCTCCAAGCATTGAACAAAGCTATATGTGAAGAGTTGGTAACTGTCTGATCTCCGTTTTTATAAACAAATGCTTGAATTGAAGAATTCAAGTGAATTCTTTTACTTATGGAATAAACCCAGCTGTAGTAAAACTGAACCATGGCTTGTTTCCTTCCTTGTACTGTGCGCGAAGACTGTAAAAGCGGCTTTAAATTCAGATCAATCCGCTGATCATAGAGTAAAGTGACGAATGGGTCCACTTTCTATAAGAATCAAGTATTATGCCAATAAAAAATAAAAAAAAAATTTGTTGGGACCGCCGGCTCAGGATACACAGTTAGAACAAAGAGGAATATTTGTAGAAAAACAATTAGCATCGTAGAGGACACTCTTAAACAACCTTACATCATACACATTTGTAAATGTTTGGACCCCTGGCTCCAGCCATATGAAACTATTACACAGTGTGTCTCAGATAAAGGCATCCGTCCCCAATTTCCGACGACATTCCCCATTTAGGACCACCTGTCCCCGGCTAAAGCCGTCCCAGTAAATTTCCCAGATTTTACGTTTTATAAATGAGGGGTTGTGTGTAAACTGCTTTTATTGTAGAAAAAACACATGAGCAGAACCAACAGTTAAGAGCTAGCTGGTTTGCAGCTATTAAAATATAGATGAGGAGAAGAATGTAATACTTTTAATTAAAACAGAGGAGAAAGAACTGGAAGTTTTTTTTGTCACAACTGGTCGCAGCTGTCCTGTGTTATGGTGAGTGTGTTAATCAGTTAATTTGATTTGGATTAAGCTTATCATTGTAATAAATGTTTGGTTCATGCCCAGGTTTAAAAAAAAATAGGGCTTTAATGTGTTTTGTTTCAGTGAATGTTACATAAACCAAGCTAATCAACAAAAAGTAAGACCATTCGCTGCAGATGGCATCAGTAAAAAGACTCAGAAAAAACTAGACAGAAGGACTGAAAACTCCATGTAAGGTGCAAAGCTGGTGAAGTGGCTCTCTAGGGATAAACAAGGGTTCGCCTAAAAATTTTTTTAGAACTGTTTGGTGACCTTAAGTTGATATCTTCTGATAGTTACAGTGAGGAAAATAAGTATTTGAACCCCCTGCTATTTTGCAAGTTCTCCAACTTAGAAATGATGAAGGGGTCTTAAATTGTCATTGTAGGTGTGTCCATTCTGAGCGACACCATCTAAAAAAAAAAAAATGAAATCACAATATGTGATTTTTTTAACAATTTATTTGTATGATACAACTGTAAAGAAGTGTTTGAAGACCTGAGAAAATCAATGTTAATATTTGGTAGAGTAGCCTTTGTTTGCAAGTCTAGAGCACAAACGTTTCCTGTAGTTTTTCACCAGGTGCTTTGTCAGAAGGCATCCCTTCTGGCACACTCTCTAAAACAATCTGTGAAGCTAGCTCCTCACAGGAATGATCCCAGCTTTGGTAGTGGCAGCACAGCTGTTTAACCAAGTTGAAAACTCTGTTTTCTCATCCGCAGGCATGGTGGCCTGGTGTTTGGTATGCTTGCATCATCGTCCTCTGATAATCCTTTCAGAAGGAGTTTGCACACACAATCGCGGTCTGCAAATGTCTGTCTTCAAGGGGCTTACGTGACAGTCATTTGGTGGTCAGACTTTAATCATCCCAGCTAGGGCTGGGTATTGTTCAAAAATTTTCGGTTCCGGTACCAATAGGGCTCGGGATCCACGTTGCATTGTGGGACGTCGCAGTCATATTGACGGCTACGCAAACGTAAACATAGCTCTGATACAACGTTGTTGTTGAAAGAAGGGACGTAGAAGTAGAGAGAAAAAAGATGTCAAAATCCCGAAAAAGATCTGGAATTTACCAGGACACATTAAATAGAGAAGCCACGGACTGGTATGTTGACAAAATCAGCATTATTAATAATTTGGATCCATATGAAGTTCCAAACAATGAGTGGAGCACCGAGCGCCTATACTTCAAAACAGTTCCCAAGCTACAAGTCCTTGGAGTCTCATATGCAGTTCACGAATGGAAGGGTTCAGGAGCTGCAGATCAT